ATACCCACCCCCCTCCCCCCTCCCCCCTCCCACCTGCCCAATACCCTATTACTGTAGTACCTATGTGTCCACTTAGGTGCTAGTCAGTTAATACCAGTTTTCTGGAGAATATATCTGGTGCTTGTTTTTCCATTCTTGGGATACTTCACTTAGTAGTATGGGTTCCAGCTCTAACCATAGCAGCTAATTTTGATAACCATTGGCCTATACCAATCTGAATCCATCCTCTCTAATCAGACACTTTGTAACTCAAGCAATATTGCAGAAGAGGCTCTTGGATGGGTAACCAACAGTGGTGTGCATGCTTGCTTTGCTTCTCTCTGATCTGTCTACATTTCCAGCAGGGAGAGGGCCCTGGCTAGAATCTGCAATCTGTTCTACTTGCTGGAGTCACATGTTCTTGGTCTTTCTTCACTCACTCACTAGCTAACTCTTTCCTCTCCTTCCCTGTCAGCAGGTTCCTGATTTCTCACCTTTCTCCTTCTCCAGGTGGTGGACAGGTTAGGGCTCCTGTTCTGTGCTGGTACATACTCAGACCCAGTCTAGAAGGCCATCAAGGATTGCCAGTGCCTTCCAGCTCCTCATCCCCATTCCCAATTCCCATCCCAGTGAAAACGCATCTCCCTTCTCTGTTGCCCTGTTATTCACTCTGCACCCGTGTTTGATAGACATTGGCCTTTGTCTTAGTTCTTCCACTTCCAGATGGCGTCTTGCACACTTCCACAATTGCTTTCCTTCAGGTGCTCATATTGTTGCAGCTGTTTTGCTTATTATGTTTTGCCTCTGCCTTGACGATAACCTCAAATGAGGTAGGCGTGAAGTCTGTTCATTTAAAGCAGCTCTTGAAGCTATGAGCTAAAACTTGGATGTGATTTTATGTCCATATTTGGGTACATTGTAAGCTGCCCATGTGTACTTCTCAGGGTTCCTGGACGCTCAGAATGTGCACATACCTCAAAACACAGCCTTTCAGATTTACATGCCTCTGTTGCAAATTAGACATACTAGGTTTCTCTTCTGAAAACACACCTTTAGCAGAACATACTTGAAAAATGAGGTGCTCATCTTTTAGGAATCTTCAACTGAGAAGCTCTCATCAGTGCAAACAAAGCCGTGTTGGAACAGAAGAATGTTCAGTCTGCCCAGCTCTAAGAGATGATGTTTATGTCCCTTGGACTCAAGAACAAAAAGACTGACCAACAGCCTTTTTGAAATCTAATCTGTTTTTTGGTAGAGAGATTTTAATGTGGGGTACATTTCTATGATGAGTAATTGCTGCCAAACCTAATGAAAGGATTTCTCTAAAATTTAGACTATATAGCATTTAGGCTGTATGATAAATAACTGTATAATGTAAAAAATAACTATGTATTTATTTGAAGAGAACTAAATTTTAAGAATCCTGTCAGTCTCTGGAAATCATTATTAATGTATAAGGATTTTTTTGTCTAAGTTCTATAAAAAAGATCTGTGAAGAGCGGGCACTTGGAGAAATACAGGAGTTAGCCAACAAAATCAATTCTTCAGCTTACCTTTGAAAGTTAAGTATGTAATTTCACTGCATAGATCCTAAGATAAAAAGTCTCAGATTAGAAAATATAATTTTTGAAATTTAAAGTTGTGATGTAGGATTAAAAAGTATTATCTTACCTGTGATATAATATAATCCTTCGCTAGTATTACATTGCAGTAGAAAAGTGAATATGTTAAAGTTTTCATGAAATTTTTGGATATTTGTTATAAATGGCCAAATGGCTGGCTGTTCAGGGAAGCTTCCTGAGAAATATGGTCCATATCACTCAAATTACATGAAGAACAGCAAAATAGTAAAAACATACTATCAACTTTCTAGTATTCGAATTAAGGAATATTATGAGTAACCACCTCACATTTTGGAAGCCCAGAGAAATTTTGACTCTTCTGCAGTCTAACACTCTATTTAGTAAAAGAGGGATACCTAATAATTAAATACACATTCTATCTAGTAAAATATATATTTATGTTTGCATATGTAATGAAGTATAATCTAATTCACTCAATAATATACATAACACATGGATGTGTTGTACCTTGTTCATAGTGCTTTCCCAAATAATCTCACCATCCTCTGTGGCCCTCAGCGGAATTGGTAATACTACTTTGGTTCACTTTGATAGATTAGAAAATGGAGACTCAGAGAAGAGCAATATATACAAGTTAGCAGGATGGTAGGATTAGAAATCATTTTTCTTATCAGCTGGCATTTTTTCATTGTGGTATTCTACCTCCTTATTTCTTAGAGCCCTCAATCAATAGGATTTTTAAAGTATGTTGGGATTTCAGACATTAAAGGATTAACCAGTGCTGTAAATACTCCTTGGTGGATTAGACCTGCCTAGAGAACTTCTCTTTCTTCTCTGCTACAGATCCTCAGTCTCTTTTTCCATAATTCCCAAAGCATTAAAACTTTGAAAACTTAGCTTTTTCATAAGTTTGACATAAATTTATGGCAAAATCATGCCTGAACCAATGGAAGTTTATATATAGTCTTTATTTATTCCACTTAGAGTAAATAGTGATAGACTTTACTCCATAAATATCCATGTATTTTTTAGGAATCGGCAAATTTTTTTTCTGTAAATGGCCAGATGGTGAATATTTTAGGCTTTGTGAACCATACTGTCTCGGTTGCAAGTATTCAACCCTCGCATGGTAGCATGAAAGCAGCTATAGACAATATGTAAATGAAGGTGTGGCTGAGTTCCAATAAAACTTTATTTACAAAAAGAGCTGGCAGGCTGGCCTTGGCCCACTGGCTATCGTTTGTCTACCCCTGGACTAAAGTGTGATGCTCCACTCTGTTGAGACTATTGCATAGTATATGGTATATGTACCATATTATCTCTCTACATTCTGAAATATGTCAGACCTCGAGAATTTTTGGTAAGGGATCATGGATCTGTATCTGAGATTTAAAGGAAGTTTTATAAAGGTAAAATCATCTCTGTTATCGTCAAGCATCAAAGTCCTTGTATACAGATGACTAGAAGGACAACTAAAGTTCACATATTGCCAGTGTATTGATCAGGAATGAGTCTGAGAGCCACAGATGTTTAAACACATAAGTTGATATTTGTCTCATTTAACAAGAAAGTCAGAGATAGTTAATCCAGAACTGGTGCAGGAGCTAAGTGATTCCCTTAGGGATCCAGCCTCTGGTTTTACCTAGCGATGGGCCCACTCCCTGATACAGGTAGAAACCAATACTATGGGACTGGTTTTTGAGAAAGGAAAAAGCTTCATTGCAAGTTGACTGACTAGGAAACAGGAGGCAAAACTTAAATCTGTCTCCCTAACCTGGGGTTTGGGGCAAGTTTTATGGGTTAGGGAGGACAGGTTGTGCAGAAGCACTGGCAGGGCAGGTTTTCATTGGAAAGACTTCAAACGAGACTATTGATGGCAAGGTATGGAAAGGAGTCTTATCACTGGACATTCCCAGACAATAGACTCCTTGCTTTTGAAGTAGTCAGGTTCCAGTCATGTCTTAATCTTTTTGGTTCCGTGAGAGGGTTGAGACTTTAGTTCCGGGTGTTATTTAAGGTTGAAGTCTTCTGTGCGTGCTCCAGCTACATGACTTGCAACTTCTTGGCTCCATGCCTGTAACGTAACTTGACATCTAGTTATCAACAGAATAGGGCTTGTTAGAGAACTGTCCCGTGCAGTTACAAGACAGAGTAGAACTGGTCCTGTGGTTAAACTGCTTATATTTATTTGACAGTATCCTTAGTTGATAAGCCTTCATCCTGATGCTCATTGCCTCATGGTTGCAAGGTGGATGCTGCACCTTTAGGTGTCACGTGCACACTCCCAGCAGAAACATAAAAGAAGGGAGCAAGAAAAATTATATCTGTTAGAAAAGTAGAAACTTACCCCAAATCTCAACATACCTCTTATTGGACTAAACAAGGTCACAGGGCTACCACTAATTGTGAGGAAGCCTCAGGAAGCAGGTATTTTTTTAGTTGGGTTCATTTTCATCACTCTCCAAAATCAGGAGAAAGGATTTTGGGTGGGCAAGTTGCACACCATCTGCTGAGGCATCTGTTCTAGTTTTGGTGGCTGTTATATTTTATTACAGATATTTAACATTGTATCATCTTCTCCCCTGGGCAACATATCTTTTTAAGTATCCTCAGTGTTAGCAGCTTGTTTACCATCTGAGTTGGAAAATTAAATAACATTATTCACATTTTTATGTAAATGTTGCATAACATGCATGTATAATTACTTGAGAATGGTTTTCTTCAGAAGTATATTTTCCTGTTTTCCTGAGGACTTTTGTTTTGTTTAGATGTGACCCATGGCATGTGGGTTAGCATTATTTAAGACTGAAGATGAAATAAATGGAAGACAACATTGAACTTTGTAAGCAAGTTATTGTTCTGATGGAAGATGATTGCACACGAGAACAAGATTTTATGAACTCAGAGTACTTGAAGAAGGAACAGTTACTCAGTAACTTTCTTAAAATATGTATCTGATACATGTTTGAGAGAAAAGCAATTAAATAGGCACACAGAGACCATTTTAGTTCTTGTGTATCTTGCTATCCTTATCTTACTCTCTGAGGTAGTATTTTCTTTTTTTTCTTTTTTTTTTTGGTGTAGACTACCATAATAAGAAAGGAGGGAGGTTCCTATACAATTACAATTTTAATTGTGTCTTGTTGCTTTACTAGGATGTCCTAAAATGGCACAGTGAGAATAGCATGAAAATAAATACATCCATTTATTGTTTAAGCTAAAGTATAAGTATAACTTTCTTCAACTAAGTTCTGTAATACTGAATTAATTTTAAACTCTGTTTCAATATAGCCATTATGATTAAGTATAACCATAACCCTTTATCTGTCAGATAAATGCTGATTCTGAAATAATGCACAATAGACCCTCATCTGCCATAATCTTGGAAACTGTAATAAGAAAGACAAATTTTTAATCTAAATGATTCATGATTCTTAGGGCTTCAATGATTAATGGATCATCAAAAACTATTTCTGAGATGGCCAGAGATTGAATGATCCGCATTTTGGTGAGTAGAAATGAAGAAGCAGTGTGGATATATGTATTTGGATCTAGGTTCTTCTTTGACTTACAAATCATTCATTAACATGATCAAACAAAGTACAATCAACAGGTATTAGGGAGAAGTAAATAACTAAAAGAGAAGATTCAATGTGAACAAACTTACCAACTGAGCCAGACAGAAACAGAAATAAATAAGAGGAGGGACCAACCCTTATTTAGAATTTTTCTAAATTTTCAAAATTTAGAATAGAATTTTCAAAATTTAGAATAATTCTAAATTTTGTCATCAGAGAGTTACAAAACATAGTGCTATGGAAAAGGAACAGTTCTAGAGCAAGAAGGAATTCTTGGGAATTAAAGTCTCATTGTTGACTATTTTAAAAAAAGGTATAATGGCTGAAAGGAAAGATGAAGAAACCTTCCAGAAAACACAGCAAAAGAGCCAAGAGTTGGAAAATATGAGTGAAAAGTTGAGATATTAGAAGATCATTCCCAAGTATCTTCTAACAGAGGGTCTAGGAAGAGGAAATTGAAAAAGATGTGGAGGAAACAATTAAAAACATTCACACCAATGTCTTAATTCTCAAATCTTCAGACCAGAGCCCTTTGCATGTAAAGTAGGAAAGGATATGAATGGGCAAGCAGCTGAACACGTCTTCATGATACTTCAGAATGCCAAGGAAAAGGAGAGGATGCTAAAAGTTTCCAGAAATGGGAGTGGGGAGGAGAGTTGACCACAAAAATAATGTCTAGAGGACAAGAGCATGCCTTCATGGTTTGGAGGTAAAATTATTTTGAACCTGCAATTCTGTTCCTCAGCCCCATGCTGCAAATTTAGTAGAAAGGGAAAATAAAAGCATTTTCGGACAAGTCAGAACTAAGTTATTTGATCACCCTCAGATCATTCCTAAAAGAATGAATGCAAGTGTAAGCTTAGCAAAACAAAAGAAAGAAATGGGAGTTCCAAGAACAGGTAGACAAACTAAACTAAGGAAGCAATTTTTTAAAAAAAATTCTAAGATACTAGTTATTTAGTAAATCTTTGAGAAAAATTGGCTTAATTAAAATAGTATTTTTAGTGTACTCTAAAATCCTAAAAGCAAATGAATTTTCCATAACAAAAATGTATGATAAAATAGAATGTTCAGTGGGCAGATAGAGTTATAATATTTTAGGGCCCCTTCTTCTTTGATAATGTTTTTTCAGCAGCACAAGTTCAGTCATGATATTATATGGTCTTCTCTCTGCATTCATACTTACTACTTATTTCTTCAGAGAATAATTATTATATAATTTTCATATCATAAATTTTATTTTCAAATTTTAAAAATCCATGTGTAAAGGAAATTATAGTACAGAACATGATATAAACTTGACAGTGTAAAAGTAATAGCTTACTGGAGAAAGGTTGGGAGGTACAGAGAGGAAAAGAGGTGAAGGGAAAAACAGGGACTCTAATCTGTCATTTTACAGAGAAAGGAGATAAGAGAAACTGTCTCGATTTGGTGAATTAAGAGAAGTTTAAACATAAGGCTGTAAAAGTCAATTGAAAAACAAAATATTGAAAGAAAACTGGTAGAGATGGAGAGAGAAGGAAAGGAGGGAATGGCATACTGTGGAGTCAGATGATACGTTTTAAGTTCACAAATCAAGACATAGAGATTCGAGCATATTATCTTGAGGTACATTTTCCAACACAGTAGCCACATGTGTTATTGCACCACTACATATGGCTGGTTCAAATTGAGATGTGCTGTAAGTGTAAAGTATATACCATATTTCAAAGATTTAATATGAAAAAAAGAATATAAAATATTTCAGTAATTTTTGTATTGAGTACATTTAGCTGATAATACTTTTGGATATATTTGGTTACATAAACATTGCTAACGTTAATTTTACCATTTGTAAAATTGTTTTTAACATGACTACTGGAAAATTCAAAATCACAAATCACACTATACTGTTATGGAACAATCTCTGATCTAGAGATATGGAGGTACATTAGGAGAATTGAAATAAGAAATAATTTATTTATATCATTTTGGAGCCAGAGTGGGGTGCAATGAAAAAGGAAGGCCTTTTGTTTTATAACTTTTACATGATTTAGAAAATTATTTTTATTAAATATTGAGAAGTTTTGAGAGGATATTTGTAAAATATATGAAAGGTATGAGGAATAACAAAACAACAGAACACCCTTAATTGCCACCCTATTGAAGAAAAAAAATAAAACACCATTGACTTTTAATGCATTTCTTCTTTCCACCTCAGTCTATTGGAATGTTTTAATTTTAATAATAAAAATAATTACATTCTTTTTAAGAAAGTTGCTAAGTAGAGGATATCTTGTATAGTTTTCTTTTTTTGTTTGGTTAATTGGGCAGTATTAAATTTTAGAATGTGTGTGCCATTTGAGTCAATGGTTCCCTTTGAGAAATGTATTCTGTGTGTTTTGAAAAACTCAAACTGCAAAGAAATATATAGAGAGTGATGTCATTTTAATTTTCAAAAGAACATTTATGTTTATGTATCTTTTTATAATTACAGATATACATGTATATGCTGACATTAACATAGACATTTACATGATATATGCATGTGTGTACATGAACATATATAATAAGTGGGAATAGTTCTTATCTCTCAGAAGTCTTATTGGGCAGGCAGAGGAAGAGGACTTCATATTCTTGTTTTATAAATTTTCAGAGAAATGGTCATAGAATTATGATTTTATTTACTTAGTTTTGAACATATTCTGTATTTTCCAAATAAAAATTCCCTAAGGAAATAAAATGTTGAAATGTGTTGTAACAGTTAAGGCTGTCTTAGAACAGAACATATTGCCTTAGATGGTAAGAAGCAATATGTTTAGAAATTTAAAAAGAGGACAAGTTGCATGAAAAGTATTAAAGCCATTATTTTTTTTCCTTTTCCACCCCAAATGTATTAGTCCAAGAGCCAAGAGTTAGCACTTTCAAACAAACCCTAAAATTGATTCTTTACCTTGTCCTTTCAGTCTAAGGCACTTTTAAAGAACCCACAAGACTTCCTTTATTGTGCTTCATTTCTAATACATAGTGCAAGGTGCATGTGAGCAAATCACATTAGTGTAATGAGCTGTGCTTCCAACAGGACAGTGAAAACAGAAGAGATGCATGAATTCTTTTTTATTTACTGAATGTAGACCACATACATATTTTAGTAACGTTTACTTTTTCTCTAATCATACGTCTGCATGTACATTGAAAAGATTTTAGAAAACTCAAAGTTACAATGAAGAAATTAAATACTTGCTGTAATCCTGTCATCCAGACATAACCACTAATGATATTTTGTTGTATTTACTTCTGGTATTTCTAGACATATACATATAAACATTTTAAAGACTTAGAATATGTATGGTGTATATGTGTTGTGGTTTTCCCAAAGAATATTATATTGTGGATGCTTTTTCATAGGATTTAATATTCTTCATAGTTTTAATGGTATGAAATAGATCATTTTAGAGAAATTAAAAATATTCTAAGAGTTTAAAGTTGAAATTAATATATTGCATTTTTATTGTGGTAGAGGTTGAACATGTTTGTTTCTTTATTTTTAGTGTATAATAGATCCTATAAGTAAAAAGATAATGACATGTTTACCTTGTCATAATCAATAGTGATTTCCTAAGCTGATAATATTAGGTGGATGGAACTCTTCCCTGTAGATGTGGAAAACATATCCAAGGACACATCTTTAATGAGAACAGACTGGTTGTACACTGCAGTATCCATCGATAGGTGAAAAGGCAGAAACTTCATTAATGCAAAATGACATGGAGCTGTAACCTTGAGTCTTAGGACAAAAGTGGATCTGTATTCTGTCCTTGTCTCAAGGAGGCAGAAGGTTGCAGGTTCCTCTTTGCTGTGCTGTTTACCTTTAACTAGTGACTCATTTGGTATAAACCAGCATTGCCTAGGTGAATTCCACCTGTGCCTAGTCTAATACGTGTCATAAAAGACAGGATGTGGTGGTCATTCTGGAAAGTGAAGATTCGGAATTGTGTCTTCTGTGGTTAAGTGAATGAGTAGGGTAGGGTGAGTGGGAAAAGGAATAGTCATTATAGGAATATAGGAGCTGGTGCCATTTGAGGAGAATCGTTAGTTTTTTGTTTTGTTTTGTTTTTTTTTTTAAATGAAGATCAGAGACATTTGAAGGATTGTAAAAAGAAAACGTGTGCATTTAGGCAAGATGGGAGAATCAAATTCAGGTGAGTTAGTGAGAGAGTGGAATAGATGGGAGAGAAGAATTTATAAAAATCATAGCTCCTACCCCGTGGACGCCTTCTGTGGGCCAGCCACTCATTTTCCTTGGGGCAGGATGGGAGTCACCTACATAGGATGGAAGACTAGGCAGTGTTTTCTTTTACTTGGCATGTAGGGATGTTAAGGCTGGAGTTAGGAAGGAAGGAAGTAGGATGAAGTAAACAGTCTTAATATTAGAGGAGTTTGAAGAGTCGATGCTGTCTGGCATTCCATGAGGGAATGAAGGCTCTTTTTAGATGACTTGCAGAAGTTTACATGGTTTTCCACAGGAAGCCCCAGGAAGCTGCCACTGTTGGATCTGGACATGAACTATTTATTCCTCTAAGATCCTGACATCTGGGACAGAGTCTGGATGCTTCCTAGCACTTCTGGACTGACATATCAGTGTGTTCTCTGATGAAAAGTGAAACTGGATTCTCTTTGCATTGGGATTTGCAGGCACTCTGTCAAGCTAGTTAAAGCAAGAAAGGGGAAATGTTTTGCAAGAATACAGGGCTGTGTTCATGAATCTCAGGGTAAGAAGGGTTAGGATCTGAAAATAAGAACTAGAAAGCTTTAAAGAATGGAGGCAGCGATTGATTTTCTGGTATGCTCTTATCTCTGCTTTTCCAATGCTGTTTTTGTCTGTCCCTATTTCTCTTTCCACATGAGGTAAGGTGACTGTCCCAGATATTTACATCCCCTAGTT